CAGAGTGGCAGAGACTGCAGGTTGAGGCAACCATAAATAGGCAGGTATCTACTTTGAGACTTGGTACAGAGTGGTGGTGACTCTGCAGAGTCTGCAGACTCGCGACCAAACAGGGATTCACAGAGAGACACAGGCCTGCGGAAGACAGCAGCCAACCAAAAGTGCTGCTGCCTGCAGGCAGGCACCTCTAGAACCGGGGAACTGACTATTTGGCACACCTCGAAGGTGCTGCACTTACTAGACGATGAGAGGCCACAGAACACAAAGTTGACAACATGAACAAATCGCTTAGGAAAGGGAGGAAGAGTTTGGAAGACAAGAATTTAGGATCGTGTGGTTGCGTGTGTGTATGTGTGCGTGCGTGCGTCTCTCTCTCTCTCTCTCTCTCTCTCTCTCTCTCTCTCTCTCTCTCTCTCTCTCTCTCTCTCTCTCTCTNTCTCTCTCTCTCTCTCTCTCTCTCTCTCTCTCTCTCTCTCTCTCTCTCTCTCTCTCTCTCTCTCTCTCCTCTTCCTTGTGCAAACATACGTATGTAGTCATTGAGAATAGCCCGATGGACCGTAGGGAGAAAAGGACACAGTCATAAGGAAGTACCCGGTGACCGTAGGCAGAAAGGGAGGGGGAGAGAAAGGACAAGAAGCAGGGGGCTGTGAATTGACAGACTGTCGAAAGAGTTTCGTATATTCATGTACATATCTTTCTGTCTCTCTCACGGCTTTCCTGTTCGTCCCTCTTAAATCCCTCCGCACAGACTCTCACAAGAGGGCAACCAAAAAAAAAAAAAAAGAAGTCCGTATGCACTCTCTCAGCACTCCACGCAAATGGAGGTAGCACCAACGAAGAGGTAGTGAAGGACCAGACGCGCCCGCGCAGACTCTCACAAGAAGGCCCCAAAACACAAACAAACAAAAAGACGTCCGTTCTTGGCATGACGAAACGACGAACGGCGTTTGACGTCTCTTTTCCAGCGCAGGTGGTAATCGCACCAGCGCAACCGTCTGAACGACCGACGGCTCGTTTTCACTTCTCTTCTTTCTTCTCCTCAGTGAGAGATACGGTCAAGCGTACTACAAGTGAAAACGAGCCTAACGAGGTTACTTCCCTTCCCTTCTCTTCAAGTTCTCTACGTTCTTCTCCCCCTCCCTGTCACTTCTCCACGCCTCAGTCCCCCTTTCTATGGCTTGCTCCTACTTCACCCATTCTCTTCTTTCTTTTCCCCCTTCCTGTCTCTTCTCAACGCCTCAGTCCTTTCTAGAAAGGGGACCTGCTGCTCTTCTCAGCACCATCCATTTTCATCCACGATTGACAGTCGCGCACTCACTACTTCTTCCGGAAATTGTCGCCGCCTTTCCCTCTGTTCAATGTTCATCTCTATCACCGACATCTTCAGGCCGCCTCCCTCCCTCCCTCCCTCCCTTCCTCCCTCCCCGGCTCCCCCCAATTGCAAGCACCGTGCAATGCGTGCATCCTCTGACCGAATAGAACACCTGTGGAGCGTAAACAAAAAAAAAAACAGGAGGGGGGGGGGGGAGGGAGGAAAGGAAAAAGGGAACACCTCTGGGACCTCCATAGCATATAATATGGGATCTCTGTCACTCTGTTGTTACCTGAAACTTGGAATTTGCACCCCCCCTACAAAAATAAAAATAATAATAATAATAACTATTAATTAATTAATAATTAAAAAAAAAGCAGGGGATGTCGACTTGCCTCCCCAGGTTGCACAGGGCAGGCTGCCAGGTCGTCGATCCAAAAGCCTGATATCCGTATGATCCCGATGAGAAAATGCAAGGTGATGATTTCAAGTCGTCAATCGAACCCTTATCAGCCTAATCCGTATCCCGATGAGACAAAGTCAGGTGATGACTTCAGCCCTTAACATCCGTATCCCGATGCGACAATGTCAGGTGATGACTTCAGCCCGTCGATCCAACCCTTGATATCCGTATCCCGAGGCGACAATGTCAGGTGACGATTCCAGATCATTGTCAATGTCAAGCGAACCCTTATCCTTATCCCGAATTAGGCAACGTCAGGTGATGTGATTCCCGGTCGTCCGTCGAACCTTTATCCGGATCCCGATGAGAGAATGTCAGGTAATACTCATGATGACAGGGCAAGCTGCGCCGCCGCCGCCGTCACTGCAAACGACGGCCAAATAGAAACTCGGCAAGGTGCAAAGCAGCTCAGAGCCTCAGAGTCTGCTGCAGCCTCTGATTGAACTTGAAGTTCCCAAAATCTGTCAGCCGTTTTCTTGCCCACGCTGCATGCCCAATCTTCGATCCCATGACTCTCGCAATTGGCCAAGTTGCGCGGGGGGCAAATTGGCAAATTGGCCAAATTGGCCGATTTGGCAATACCTCTTTTACGGCTGACGCTGACTTTTCGTTTTCTCAACTTTTCTGTTTTGTTTTGTTTTCTTTTGCTTTGCTTTGTGTTCATCCCCCCCCCCCTCCCCCTCTCTCTTCCCTCCACCCCTTCCCTCTCTTCTCTCCCCCCTTTTGCCGCTTAACGCTGATGATCTGTCTTCATTCCCACCCATTTCGAAAAGCTAAGTAACCCTACAATTTGAACAACCAGCTTTACTGGGAAGAGCTCTCGTCTCTCGGAAACGACACGGCATAAACAATCTACTCTCTACTCTCCCATATCTCTGGCACACAAGGGAGGCTGCATCAGCGACTGCGATCTCGCCCTCTCCCTTGTGGAGCGATATTCCCTTAAGTTAATTAATAAGCCTGGGCTGTAAGGCTGCTACCCAGCTTAACCTGGAGGAATAGGAACCTACTAACTGATACATTTATTAAATTAAGAAGAAAAACTGAAAATAGGAAGAGAAAAAAAACGAAAAAGGGGGAAAAAAAGGAGGACTCGCGATTCAGACGCTAAGCTCGACGCGCATTCAATACAATGTCATCCGAAAAATGACTTCGTCAAGCTGAAGAAAGAATATTTAATATAGAATTGAAAAAAAAAGAAAGTGAAAGTAAATTAAGTAATGATATAAGAAGAAGAAGAAGAAGAAGAAGAAGAAGAAGAAGAAGAAGAAGGAAGACAGGCAATGGCCAATTGCTCTGCACACACAAGTCGATTGTATTAAGTTATGAACAATATGAAACATGAAGAGATGCGGCCCATGTCATATCTATTACAGGTCGGACAGAACCTGTCTGTGATCGGAGCCACAAGGCCCACAACCTGATCGGAGAGAACCTGTGGCGCCAGTGACCTCCTCTGCCACTGGCTCACAACTTCGTTACGTATGGAGCACCCCATGTGTGAATCGCCAGAAAAAAAAAAGGGGGGGGAGATAAGATAACCATCTCGCGCCTGCGAACTCCCATCGGACAGCTACTGCAAGTGCTGACACTGCTGAGTTCGAACCCAAACCGATACCACCGCTTTTTCAGGCCTTCGACAGCATAGGACGCGGCGGGCTCTGTGGCCCCCCATACGGGCATATGAGGACGAACGTGGCCACATCTTTGTGCTAGAATCAGTTCGACTGAATCTAGCGCGCACATGTGGCCAGATTCATCTCAAAATGAACGTAGAAGTCCCGAACACAGACACTCGTGGCATGGCCCCTGAGCTCTCTCTCTCTCTCTCTCTCTCTCTCTCTCTCTCTCTCTCTCTCTCTCTGTGTGTGTGTGTGTGTGTGTGTGTGTGTGTGTGTGTGTGTGTGTCTGTCTCTCCACGACAGCCTTGGGACCCTTGCTGTGCTCAGAGAGAGCAGTCTCCCACTGAAGAAAGCGTGAATCTATCGATGGCAGAATAAAGGGGAGGGAAAAGAGGAGAAGAACCAACGGGCCTAGCGCAGTTGGTAGGCCCATGCGTGAACTGTTGAAATACAGACCTGAGTTCGACTTCCAATAACCTCAGACGAGTAAATAACTCTGAATTTACCGTTGGAGGGCTGCTCAGTTCGAATATAATCGGGGAGGCACAGCGACTGGCCACTCAGATGATGCTCGATCCCTCTGCTACCGGCTGTCCCCTGGCCGGTGTCCCCCCACTGGGGGTTCCCTGAAGGCAATCAAGGCCACCCTGGGCTGAAAAGGCCACCCTGGGCTGAAAAGGCCACCCGATGTCAGATTAGACACAATATTGAATTTACCTGGGCTGGTTAGTCCGATGATAATACCTCAAGGCCATCGCCCTTTAAAAAAAAAAAAAAAAAAAAAAAACAGGCCGCGGGTCTCGAACCGGCTCCGAGTCCGGCTTACTGTAGAACTGACCGACCGTGGTCATCCCCAGGTTATCGTCTCCATTGAGTCCACTGAGCCTTGCTGACAAGTTTGACAATCTATTTCACAAGCTATTTCAACTCAATTCTAACTCAACTCTAACTCAACTCTAACTCAACTCAACTCAAACTCAACTCAACTCAAACTCAACTCAACACTAGTAGAGGCAGATTGATGTCTATCATGATTGAGCGATTGATTGATTGCGATTTACATCATTGAGTTCGTATGTCAGCAGAAGAACTCTCTCCACGTGGCAACCCACCAGCGCCTGCGCTCGAAGTCATAGATTTTTTATTATTATTTTTTTTTTTTAAGATTACATCGCCTCGCAGAGTCTTTTCTTTTCCCCCTTTYATTCTTGAATCTCGGACATTCTGGAGAGCCTTTCTCGAGTCTCGCAAGTGCTCGAGAGCCAACCAAACAAGAAGGAGCTGTGCTCGTGCATGAGCATGCATCATGGCATGCCCTTTTTTTTTCAGCGGACAAGATTGTCTTGCACAGTGTCGATTGCTCGGGTGCTGACTCTGCTGAGGGCGGCGGCGGCGGCTTAATCAGCGCACCACGTCGTGGTACTGCAGTCCATGCAAGATGGTATGCTTGCGGTTCTGCTACCGCTACCTTATCTTCCAGCGGGGCACCCTCCGAACACAACACTCGGGCATGGGAGCTGTATTTGGAGCAACTTTCAGGCCCGATACCAGTTTAATTGCCGGATATTGTCGTCGGGGGAGGAAGGGTAAGGTAGACGGCAGTCTCGGCAAGCCACGTCTTCTAAATTCCACAAGTACTATACACACGGCCAGTCCCGGCGAATGCCCGCAACTCAACATATGAACCAACCCCGTTTGTGCGAGGCTGTGCGACGCTTCATGCTCCCGGCACAGAACAGACTGCCGATCAAAACCAACCACCAGAACCCCATTTGTGTAATCGTTATGCTATGTGGCCTAGCTCGGTTCGTGCACCCACGGTCTGTTGGAATACCGACCTCGAGTTCGAATCCCCATACAACAAGATGAACAGAAGTAAACGCTGTGTGACGCTGTGCGACGCTGTGTGACGCTGTGTGACGCTGTGTGACCGGTCGATGCCCCTCCTCTCCGACGACCACGACAACGACGACGACGACGACGTCGAACAGGTTACACTCCAATCAACAGCTCGTACACCTGTCCACTCTCATCCCAGCCAGTTCGGAGCAGGCCTGCAAACCTCCGCCTGCTACCTAGAAACTCCACCCGTTTAATGTGAAACCTCTCGCTCGACGGGGGGCGAGACTTGTCGGCGTTGTCGCCCTGTGCCGAAGAAGGGTAGTACTCTCTTCTTCTCCTCTCCTCAGTTCCTCCTCCTCCTCCTCCTCCTCCTGCTGCTGCTGCTGCTGCTGCAGTTGCGGCACTTCGCATACTTGACAACGTTGTGAGCTCTCCAGCGACGTACGCAGCTCGTAATCGATCAGCACGCCGAGAGTCTGTGTGTAGGGCCACACTCAGTTCCTCCTCCGTCATGTCGCCCTGATAGAACGAGTACACGCGTTCCAGTATCTGTGGGCGAGTGAATCCTCGGTCGGAGAAGTAGAGGCGAGAGGTTAGTCCCATTTCCGCAAACCTGTCGAGGGGGAAGAGCACGGTAAGGAAGGGGAAAGGATAGACGACCTCCGTGATTTCCGTTGGAGACAGGGGGCGGGGGGTGAGGGTCGATCCCTGGACTCCGTGGACGGGGGAGGCAGAAGGGGTTGGGGCCTCCCCCGAACCCATGCGGTCGTGATCCGGGTAAGCCATCTTCGCAGTGTTCGCACCGTTTCGGGGGAAGACGGCCTCAGAAGGTGCAGCGGCTATGGAGGTGGGAGCCGCCATAGCCGTCGGGATCTGGTGGCCAACTAATCCCCACGTCGGACTGCTCAGGTGGGTCCTCGGGCTGCTCGTCGAGGAGGACTCAGACCGTGTAGCTGTCACCCGACCCCTGCGATCGCGACTGTGGTCGTGTCTATGATCCCCCCCATGGAGGATCCCCTGCTCACCATTCTCACTCCCCCCCTCGGCTCTGCTAAATGGTAGGTGGTGCCCTTCTTCATCTCGCTGCGTGATTGGCGCCGAAGAGGCCATCTTGCCGACAGAGAATTCAATGAACCCTCCAGAGGCGTCGTCGTGATCGACGATTATCCTGGCAGTTGGAGGTGGCTCGGAGACCATCCACCACACAGTTTCCAGAAGAGCGGGAGGGGTTTCCTCCCTTGGACGCAGACGAAAGGGCTGCCTACTCTCCCCTCTCCTTCTCCGTATACCCTCTTTCGCCAACCGCACTTGGAGCTCCCTCTCTCTCCTCCCTGCTGCTGCCTTGGCGTCCTCGATCTCCTCCATCATTGCCTCCAACTCGCTATCCAATGGTATCCAGCTGGAACTCAGAGTCGAGGCAGTCGGCGAACTGCTGCTTGGCAGCGAATCCTCCGCTGGCTTCCGAGTTGACGTCAACAACTCGCTCGAGCCCGCGAGATTCCTAACCCAGTAATCCGCCAGAGAATCTCCCCACTGCGACGTTTTCCTAGTTGGCCATCCTCCTAAACCTCCTCCTCTCTCACCTCCCCCTAAACCTCCTCCTCTCGCACCTCCTCGTCCTTCCCCTCCTCCTCCTCCTCCTCCTCCTCCTCCTCCTCCGGGCCCCGCAATTGGATCGAAGTAGTGCGGGACAGGTTGTTCCCAGTGCAAGCTTTTCCGCCCTGCGCGTCCTGCACCTTCTCCTCCTCCTCCTCCTCCTCCTCCTCCTCCTCCTCCTCCTCCTCCTCCTCCTCTATCAAAGGATTCCGCAACGGGATCCCCCCAATGAGATGTTCTCTTCCCTGTCCATGCTTCTTCCCCTCCATTTTCTCCTCCGGCTTCTGCTTCTGCTGCTTCTCCTCCCCCTCCTCCTCTTCCTCCTCCTCTTCCTCGGTCGCGTCCTCTTTCCTCCCCTCCATCTTCTCCTCCTCCTCCTCCTCGTCCTCTTTGTCCTCCTGGCCCCCTTCCTCCCCCCTGGCCCTCTCTTCCAACTCCTTGCCTGCTTTCAGCGCCTTGTCCTCCTTCTCCCCCTCCTCCTCCTCCTCCTCCTCCTCCCCCTCCCCCTCTTCTCACCCCTCCTCCCCCTACCATTGCCACTGCCATGTGCATTGCCAGATCCGCAGAATAGGTGACTTGCTTGGCCTGCCTCCCCAGCCGCACCGATCGCAGAATCCACGTCGGGCTAACCAGGTTGGTCAGCTGGCCCGCGTACTTGTCCAGAGATTGGACCCTGCAAACGACATGAGTGACCTTTGGTTGACCCCCTCTTCGCCGGGCACCGGGTACAGCGGTCGTGTCGCTGCCACTGCCGCTGCTCAAGCTCCTGCCGCCGTGAAAAGCGGTGCTCTTGTCAGCGGCTTCCGAGTCCACAACCGGCCAGCAGTCGCTCTCTCTCCCACCGTTCCCCAGAATCATTCGCCGCAGGGTGGCCCCCAAGCTGTCCCCGACGTCCTTATCTAGGTAGAAACACAGGCCTTCGAACACTGCTCCCTCCCCCTCCCCCTCCCCCTCCCCCCCCCTCTTCTTTTGTGTCATCAGCCTGCCCTTTCCCTTGAGCTTCTTGAGCAAGCAACTCTCCTCATAGTCTCTCCCTCGACCTGCAGCTTCGGGCAAGCTCCCGAACCTAGCTACGAACCTTCCCGTTGTTTCAAGCCTCGCACCTGCACCCACTTCTCGCGCTCCACCCACCGACCCCCCCCACGTCGGACAAACTCGATAACCAAACTGCCAACGTGATTCGCCCTCCTCTCTGTGCGTGGCGAGCCCGTCACTCTTCTCGTGACGAGAGTGCCGCCAGCCGCCGCTGCTTTGCTCTTTTGCGACGAAGTCCCAGGCGTTCGATCGGTCAACCTCCACGTCCGACTCGGCAGGGGGTTCATGTGCGACGGATCCCAATGCGCCAGATCCCGCTCCATACACATGTGTGCGACGGGAAGAGACGTTCCTGTTCGCGCGGTGCCTGCTTGAGCTCCTCTTCAGAGCCCCCGACTCCGCGTCGGATCCCGACGCAGACACGGATCCCGACCGAGGGGACGTGCTCACTCCCACCCACGCGGAACGGAGCTCTGGAGCACCTCTCCTCCCCTGCGCGAAACTATTCCCGCTACCGTTCGTGCGACCGGTCTTCCGCCCCTCCCGTTTCCTGGATGGTCGCCCGTCGCATATGGCCGTATGCTCGACCAGCCACCGAAACATGACCATGTCAAACCCTTTCCTCACACCACCTCTGCGCGACTGCTGCAGTCGCTTGCCAGCCATCCCCGCGCTCGGGAGCTCACCAGCCGTTTGAACTCTGGATGCTGCAGGCTGGCACAGCACACCAAGCAGTCCCCACACACTGCCACCGTTCAATCATAAACTGGCTGGATCATTTTTTCCCTCTTCGAAAGCGCACCATTGAAATTCAAATCTCTCTCTCTCTCTCTCTCTCTCTCTCTCTCTCTCTCTCTCT